GAATCTAAAAAATGTATAAGAAAATTGTGTCACCAGTGAATATATCAGCTGGTGTAGGAGTTAATTCAGCTGAATTAATTTAAATAGAGGAATCAAATGTTTATCTGTCACATACACAAGCAATATATGTAGTGAAATGCAATTATGTGCTCTGAGATTGAATTAATTTGTTAATTCAGGGTTTATCTGAAGTCCAATCAAAATAATCTGATTACTTTCACAGGTGAAACACTGAGTACGAGGCAAGTATGCTGGATAGCCGAATGATTAGGTGTGAAGCCGAACGCCGCGGCCGCGGTGCTAGTGCGTCGGCGGGTGTCAGGTGATATGAAATACCGTTTCCCTGGCTTGCCTGTGAATTTGTTCGGTTCTCGGATGTCGTTTACTGTTGGGTCGGGCTCTCTGTTAAATGTTTCAAAGGGGAGTTCGCGCCCGCCCGGTCAGCCTGCTCTAGTTTGGAGAGTCGCGTGATAACCGTGGTCTGGTGATGAATTGGGCGCGCGTACACAAGGTTAACATTGTGAGTGTTAATTGAATGACAGGTTGGATTTTAATGGATATATTGACATTCAAGTTTTCTAATGGTAATTTATAAGTGAAACTGAATTTACTGATATGAAACTGAAAGCAGTGGTTACACTGGAACCAACTTATTATGTACGTATGCAGAAATGTAGGGTATTGATTGTTTGCAGTTATTGGACTAATAAAGGATATAAACTGTAGTAATACTGAAAAACAGGATCACAATCTAACTAAAAACTAGTCCCACTAATGTTCTCTCACCATGTCTGTCGAGCTGCTACTGTTACTAATCATTCTTCTGGCTCAGACACAGGAGGTCCCCGGGAACATAAACAGTAGTTGTCATCAGTCAGTCAGTTTTGCTCAGACAGAGCATGGTGCCAGTGTTTTGTACAACTGCGTAAACAAGGGAGTTCAAGTTACTTTAGTGCCACACAGCAACAAGGCCAGGGCTGTTTTTTTGGCTTGTGACCTCAATTGTCTACTCGGGTCTCCTTGTTACACATTTCAGAGGTCATTATGAGTCATTATCAGTGCCACCAGAGACAGATGGAGTCATTTAATTTGATTGATGCACAAAGAGGTAAAATTATCTAATACTTCATGACAAAGGCAAATATTAAAGGAAACAGTCAAAAAAAGAGAATAGAAATATTGTTTTCTTCTTTACTTTCCCATTAATCATTTAATTACCCCCCAGATTCATCTTGTGACTCTTTGGAGGGGCAGTTCTCTTGGTTAGAAACCACAGGATTAAACTACCTAACAATACATGTAGTTAAAATTAGTTCACACTCAACCAGATACTAAACGTTAAATGCTAATAATGTAATCATTTTCTGCAGAGCAACTTCCACTTTTGATACTTTAAGTATGAAAACTTTATCTTTTTCATGTTTAATTTACCCAAAAACTTTTCATTGGATGTAAATATGTATATTTCTTTAAAAGACTTTGCACAACCTCACAGGTGTTTTCAATTATTCTGGCTAATTAAACTCCTGTGCAGAGGAATGTTGGGAATCCGACATGTCTTAAGAGAAGCACAGCGAGAATACATAACTTACACAAAGGTAACGTTACATTTAGCTGCTACAGCTCCAAGGTCCCTTGTATTCTACATGCTGGCTCACGGTCATACCTTAAACAGAACAGAGCCATTGTTAATGCTAAAGTTACAACTGTGTTTTTTTGCTATAAGACCCTCCCTCAGAGTCCTCCACTGTTGCTACCCAGTGCTGTTGTTTTTTTATGCAGTTTTAATGAGTGCATTTTCTCCTATGGAAGGGCACCCAAGACGACACTTCATGAAATTCATCACATCATCCAACAAATTACCTCTATGTACTCAAGTGGTGTTTTGTGTGACATTTCAAAGGTGAAGAGGCTCGTGTTTCCTGTGCGGGCAGCGCCAGAGAGCCAAACCTCGCCTCTTTCTTTTAAGTGAATATGAAAGAAACACTGACTCCAGAATACCCATGTACTTAAAAATGTTTATTAGTTTTAAAAAGTCTTTAAAAACTGGTATGAACAAGCACTTCCCCTTATAAAAGCACTTGTTAAAATGCAAAACAAAAAATAAATCCCAACATAACAGTGGAGGGCAGTTCTACAGCTCTGAACCACTTTCAACAAGAGGAAGGGTAAAGTCTTCACAAACGCCAGTGCTAACCAAGTAAATGTTTTCACAGATACAGTAAAGATCAAAAACATCAAAACTGAGAAAAACAGATTCAAAACAACTGACTATAAATAAGAAATGTTTGCCTAAATTGCTGAATATTTAATTATACTCAAAATGAGATTATATATTACAATGATATAATCTGCTTTTACAGAAATTTAAAGTATTGTGAAATGTATAAAACAACGGTCAATGTGACAACAGTGCTGAAAGAGATGTTTACCATATATGATTACATTAATACTTCACCACATAATTAAAGATTTGTCTCATTTCCACATTTTAAAAACTGTGCAAATATATTTTTTGACACAATCCAGTTCTGAAGAGTTTTGAATAACATAGTTTTGCTAAATTATCTCATTATTCACCACAATGTATTGGACAAATGATCTGCTGATAAAGAAGTATTGTTACGCGTTGTATTGATACGTGGTAATATGACACTTAAGAAGTATGCTGCAAAACATCCTAACAGTGCAAGTCAGATTATTGTGTTTTCACAAGATTATACAGTTTGCAAGGTTACATTTTCTGTACAAACGACACACACTAAATAAATAGTCAAACAAAAACACACAGGACAACAGGGCCACACCCCCAAATCTGTACAACAAATAAAGTTAGTGTGACCAACAATATGAACACACTCAGGGACCTAAAGCTAACAACAGCTCATGAATACATTTCAGTGTTTTTGGGACTTACAAAAGCATCAACAATAGTAAACAATAAATCCTTAATATTGTCCTGATGTACTGATTTTTTTAAATAAAGAAATGTGTTCCAGTGCTGCAAATGTCACATTACAGAATATATTTGTTATGGCTGTGTCCCCATCACACCGGAGATTTATATCAGACACCCGAGATCTTAGTGCATGTTATTGCAGATTATATTTAAAAGTCTTTGGTATGGACATAAGGCTCAGAAATCAAAGCCCTCAGGAGCACCTGTGAGTCTCTCCTCCTCTGTGGTCGCACACAGCTCGTCATCATCAGTGTAAAGCAACATGTTCACATTTTGATCAGCTGATTTTACCTCCGGGCGTGCAGTGTCTCCCAAACACAGTGCATTTATGTAAAGGGACAAGTATTACAGATTGTCAGTGCAGTATGCTGAGTGCTTCATTGGGAAACCAAACTTCAAGTTCTTGTTGCTACAAAGCTGCTATACAGTGTTAATTTCCACTCAATTGCAGATGAAAACCTCCACCTTCAACTCAAATGCTTAATTTGCACAGAATACAAATCTCAGTATGAAGTCATTTTCATTTTATTTTTACCTCATCATAATTCTTCTTTTATATAAGATTCATACTTTAAAAGTGCAGGAACGCCCCATTCAACAGGGTTAGTTTAATTCTTAAGTAAATTGGGTTCTTGTATATTTTTTTACCTTTTTGTCCTACGAGTGGTAAAGTAGTTGAGCCCTCATCTTTCACTGCTGGTTTGAGCATCTTTCATGTTGCACGTTGCACTACGACAGGAGAGGTATCCCACAATCCTACACAACGTGCTGTGTGACTTGACTACTATATAAAGGCTCTTTACATACTCAATGCATCATCAAAGATATTTTCATGGGTGTCATTTGAGGAGGTCATCCTTCTTGTGTCCACACTAATCAACTCTGAACCACTAAGAGAACTCATCATTCTTTACATGCAGTGTATTGCTGATATTTCTTAATATATCTATGGATGAAACAATTAACATTTTTGCACATGTAAATTAAAGGCATTCATTACAGCCTCTTTAACTTTATAGGTATGATTATACAAGACAATTACCGGTACTTTTACCACAACTTTTGCAAAAATGTGGCTTGAAAAACAAAACAATGTGCAAAAGAAATGATTTGATATCATCATCTTCAAGTTGTCTGAGCTCTGCCTTTAATGCACAGACGATTGATTATCGTGATGAATAAGCGATGAGAGGTTGACTCGGCTCTTTAAAGTTCTGTGATGATTGTCAGGAACTTCCTTTTATGGTTCTGGTCTACTTTAAGTATGAACAGATACTTTTAAGTTAATCATAAGAATATATTAAATGGATTTACATGGATGTTTTGTTCTATGTTTATTGTCACTAAATGACATTTCTATGAACTGTGTGTGTTTGAAAACGCCTTGTCGTTAAGATCTTTTTCATAGATGCACCGACACCAGACTGACACATAAAGCTCCTACAAAGATAACGTGTACTGGCACAGATCTCAAGCTTCTTCATACTTGTAATACTTCCAGTTTTTTCAGTAAATCTACACCGCACACAAATGTTTTATTTATGACATTAGTTTAGCAGTAAATATATTTTTGTCATTTTGTACCCTATGCTTTAGTTATATAATACCTGCAGTTGCCATAATTTAGACACATTGATATAAAGAAATATTGTTGTAAGAAGCTCATCAATAATAATAATTCTTTACACTGAGATATCCATGGCTCGCTTTATATTTTTTCACCGACTATTCAGTGAAACATTGAACACATCATAGAAAACAGGTTTGGGTTTCTGTTTTGTTCAGTAACTTTTGTTTACTAGTTGGAAATGCTCTTAATCAAACAACGTGAGGTGATGGTCTCTGATTAAAGGGAAATGACCAGCATTTTAATCAGAGTGTTGCAGCATAATTGCAGTTCAGTCTGGCACTTAAACTGGACAAACCTCAATGTGTCCAGTGTTGCATTATAAAGTGTAAATGCCTGAAAATAAATAAAACAAAACAGCAACCACACATTAACACGTTTAACATGACTAAAAAAACAAAAAAAGCTCTTTTCTCAACCCATCAACCCAACAGTTGGATGATCTTTGCTCTCCAGCCAGTCAAGTCCACTTGAATGTGCCGCCTCGCTGGTAATTTGCTGAAACAGCTGATCATTCACCAACTCCTCTGCAGCAGCATTTTGATATTGCCCTTGCTGCTGGTTGGGGTCAAACAAAAGGTTTGTGTCCAATGCGTTAAGGTCATTGATGCTGCTGGAGAGATCCGATGTCATTCTGATTTCACAAGGGAAATCTGCCCCGCCTGTACTCAGCTCTGACACCTGTTCCATGAGCTGGCTGCCAGCAGTAAGGCCGTTGTCTGTCAGGAGGTCTTTCACAGTGCTGCTGAAATCCAGCTGCTGATGCTGCTGCAGTTCTTCTTGATGCTGCTGTGAGCTCAAAGACAGCAACATAGACTGGACCTGCTGTCGATGCTGCTCTCCAGAGGCGGATTGTGCTCGGCTGTCACTTGCGGAGAGAATCATTTGTTCATTAATAGCGTTTTCAATGAGGTAATTTGGCCTCTTGCATCTACTGGGGGAGTCAGAGGTCATCAGGCTGAGGGGGTTTTCACCGCAGGAGAGGTTTGGGTTAGACTCAAGGATCTGGGTGAGGTTCATGCGTGCAGTGTAGCTGGAGGGTAAATTATTGATGCCCAGACCCCGCACAGTGTCATCATGGTCCCCATCTAGCTTGCTCAGAAGGACATTGGTGATGTTTTTGCTGTTGCATTGTTGGCCCGGCGTGGGCACGACCTCCGTTTGCATCATAATGTTGAGCGGCACAGAATGGCTCCTCTGAGACATGCTGCTCACCCCAAGATTCGTCTGGCTGCTTGCAAAGATGTTTAACACCTCAGGCGTCACCGGAGAGTTAAAGGGAGACACTGCTGAACGAGGGATATGGGGAAGGTTTCCTGTGTTTCCACTCAGGGTTCTCTGATGCACAGCGGGGCTTACACTGCGACATCGAAAAGTTGTAGCAGGTGTGTTGGTAGTTTTGTTATCCAGAGGGGCAGGCACAGCAAAACCCTCCTGCTTGGTCATGTTAGCCATGCTAGCTACCTGCTGCTGCACAGGCGAGATGGGAGTCAACCGGCCAAAATGGTTGTCGTGGTACCGCGCATGAGGGATGGCGAAGGCGTGAGGTTTTTGAAAATGGTCACCTATCAGACCTTGATAGCTGGGGAGGATTCCCATGCCACTGTTTGACTTGTTCAAGCTCCCGTTGCTGTTGTTGTAACTGTTATTCATCCACTCCAGCCTCGTCTTGTCTGGGTGTGTGGCCATCGGTCTCTGCATGGGCTTAACGGGGCTGCTGGAGACGGTGCTGCCATCATGGAAACCAGTGATGCTGGAGTTGATGGGTGTAAACGCAAATGGGTTCCTGCACTCCACAGGACTGGGAGGCACGTTGCTGCTGCAGTTGGAGTGTGGAGTACCAACTGGGGTGTGACGACTGCTACCCAGTGCGCTGTCCACTGGGGTTGTGGAGGCGATGTGGGAGCAGGGGCTCTCTCCAGTGAGGCCTTGGACTCCTCCAATCATTTCCGATGTAGGTGTAGGAGTGGGTGTTGGAGTTTGTATCGGGTTGCTGTGGCTGTTTGCCGCATGATAGAAAGCAGTCATGGTCTGATTGGTGGACATTGTGTTGTCTGGCGTCATAGCCTGTTGGCCTTGCAGTGTGGCACAGCCTCCAAACTCCTGCAGGTTCTTAAGTTTCATCTGCTCTTCCATCTGTACCAGCTCCTCCACAATGCTGTCCTGAGTCACGTCATCATCAAAGGGAAAGTAGTCCATATCCGTCTGCATCGGGAGGTGGCTCGATGATGATGAAGCTTGACTGAAAAAGTCTAAGGGTTCATGGTTGGACTGCGTGTAGGCCTGTTGTTGAGCTCCTTCCAGGCTCCGTGTGGTTGAACTCATAACATCACTGACACCTGAATGTTTTTGGAGGCCGGGGTTATTAGGTACTGCATGTACGTTAGCCATTGTGTGCCCCTGCTGTTGCTGAAGTAATGCGTGACTGACTGAGGTGCTAGTTTCCATAACAGAGGAAGTGTTTTTCCTTTGCATTGAGCTTTGTGTTTTGGCAACAGAGTAGAAGCCACTGGCTCTGAAAGAGGAAGTGCCAAGTGCGTGGAATTGAGTGGACAGGACAGAGTTCATTTTCGTCTCTACCTCCCTGGTAGCTGGTGCACTTTCAGGTCGGGTTGGAGCTCCTGGCCTGGGGATGTTATCGTGCACGTTTCTAATCCCATATAAAAGACTGGCAGCGCCATCTACTGACTGCTCTGGCATAAAAACCTTTTTGACTGGCGAATGGTCTGGACTGAGGCCAGAGCGTTTCCTGAGGCTCTTAGTGGACAAGAAACCTTCCTTTGGTGATGTTACACTGCTGCTTTCCCCAAATGAAGGTGTTCTGCTGGTGTTCAGAAAAGAAACAGCACTGGTATTCTGAGTGGAGGGAGTTAAATGCATAGAGCGCGTATTATTAGCGCTATCATTGCTGCTTTCGACTGCTGCCACAGTGTTAGTGCTTGAGGAGGACTTTCCGTTGCAATTAGTGCTGGATGTTTCCTCTAGACCCATGAAGCCTCTAGTCTGAGGTATGGGCACACTGGCAGCCCTCTGTACAGCGCCTCCAGCCCTATTTGCAATTGATCCTTGACTTAAAATCAGACTGCTGGGATTTTGCATTTGGCTGTTTTTATGTATAGCTTCAACTTCCATTTCAACATCGACGGTATGGGTGTTAGCAGCCTGCCCTGGCCTGGCCACCGGGGCCAGGATGGGGACTGCCGAGGTGCACCTCATGCTTTGATTATAGCTGATGTCCTCTCCAACTGAAGGACTGCTAATGCCCACAGATGCTGGCCGCAGAGTGGTGTTTGTGAGGGAGGTGGTGGTAATGCTGCTGGGTGCAAGCGATATGGCCGCCATCTTGACCAAACTGACTGGGCTGACGTGACATGTAGTCATCACAGTCTTAATGGGGCTGTTGGCGATGATCATGGTAGAGGGCGAGCGCAAAGCAATAGCAGACGTGGCCGCAGGCTTGGGTAAGATTTGCGCATAACGCTGCCGAGCAGTGCGTTCTCCCACGGGACTGGCTAGAATATTTTGCTGGGTTTTGGGGCTCTGTTTCAGTGCCTGAACTGGCTGGGTCACCATTTGGAAGTTAATAGGCAGCATTTTGTTCTCTACCATTCCCATTGGACTTGGGGACATCAGCTGCCTGCTTCCCTGTACCTGCGGAGAGGAAAGGTCAATCAGAAAGTGGAACAACTAAGAAACTAAACTTTAGATGATAATCACAAGGTTTCTGACAACATATTTTGTAATTTCTACCTTTTTAAACAATAATTTTATCACTACCTGCAAGAAGAATACTGTTTTCTGTACTGTTACACAGTTGTGTTGCCATAAATAAATATTTAAAACTAAAGCTGTTTTGGACTCTTTGATATCAGACTTATGAAACTGTCTTGGCTATATATATCACCCTTTGTCATACGACAGGTACAGGTCTGAAATTTGAACTGTATCAAAGTTTCAAAACAATACATAAATGGATAATAGACACCTAAAGTGACATAATATTGTAGCTATAATAACCAAAAACGTATATATATATATATATATATTATAATATACTTATTATACTTACAAAATACAGTCTATGTTTAATGCAATTCTTCTTTTTTGTTTTAAGACAATGTTCATGTTCTTTTGACGTGTATGTGGTGTTTCTTTAAAGCAGCAACAGGGAACTTCTAGTTTGTGTTGATTCTAGCGTCCCCAGTGGACAAAAGTGGCAGTGCTTCCACCGCCTTGTTTCATTTCAAGGGGAATCTGACCGAATTCGACCTGGTGGCCGACATTAAAAATAACTACAAAGAAAAAGCCAGTCTTCATGCTGATGGTCTGGTGTGCTTATGTAGGTCATATAGAGGCATTAGTATTGAACTGAAACTGTTTCCTAACCAGTTAAACATTCCTTGTAGTAGGTTTAGGTTTTCTTAAAGTACACAAATGTGTGTTTTCTAAATGTCTAAATATATGAAAACAGGCTTTTGTAATATTAGTTGTCATACAAAAATTTGTTTGTATATTTTGTTTACCTTAGTTTAGCTGAATGTAAATGGGTGATAGAATGATGTAAAATGATCAAGGCTGTGTTTTTATAAAAGTTAAACCCATCACTCACTAAAATGTTGAGAGATTAAAGTACTATATGTATCACTGACTGATTCTCTTAATGGTTTTCATGGCAGTCTGTTCAGAGTTATTAAACTGAAAATGATAGGTGTCATTTTGAACACAACGCTCTGATTACTTACTTGTCAGTACATTCAGTATTAAATTAACTATGAGAATGAAAAAGAGGTAGACTTTTTAAAACAATGCACCAGACTGTACTCATCTTTAGTAATTCATTAATTTACTGAGTTGTTAGATTAAAAAAAAGGTGATTTTGGATGCAAATTGTGTTTATCAGGTCCTAACCATTAATAAAAGTAGATCATTTAAAGTCAAATATCAAGTGAACCTAGATTTGTTCTTTCTCTTGGGGTGAATACAGTAGATTAGTCGTAAAATTACACTGACAGTGTAATCTACATTAAAGGTCCTGCATTCTCACCGTGATGGGGCTCGGGACCGCAGCAACCACGATGCCTATGGCTGGCTGAGGTGACGGAGGGGCGGGGCTAACACAAGGCACACCATCATCTGCCCTCTTGGTTTGCCCCTCTCCAGGTAAAGGAGAGTACAGCTTCTGCTCTTGTTGTTTCCTCTGGATCTTCCTCTGGAGCTGCTGCTTCGCATCGACCGAAGGTGAGGACAGGGTTGTCACATGAGGCTGGAAAGAGTGAGCCTCAGCGGTCGGGACGAATGCTGAGGCGGTCTGTGGAGTATTAACCTCTAAACAAAGGAAACAGGGATTTAGATCCGTATCATGCTACTGTATAAAGAAATAACTTAAATAATAATATTTAAATATGTAAATGATGAGCTTGAGTTACATGTACAATAAGGTTTGATAATTAGACACCTTAACTTATTGTTAATAAGTTAATTTTACTGGTTTCACATTATAAAGGACTAAAGCTGTCATTATAATAAATGAATGACTTATGTAAATAAATAAATAAAATAATAAAGACAGAGACGTACCCACAGAACATTACCCATCATTAACATATGGGTGAAGAAATACATAAATAAATAAGGAAATAAATAAAAAAGAATACATTGGTAAATAATTAAATATGAAAATAAATTCATAAAAAAATAAGTAATTTGTCAAATAAATTATTTCTATTTCTGTGCATACTTATTTATCTTTAAATTAACCTGTACGTTTATTTGATAATTTCGGGTTTTATTTATACATTTCTGTCTTTATTATTTCATTTATTTATTTAAGTAATTAATTAATTACTGAATTAATTTATTATTATGGGAGCTTTAGCTAACCTTTATGAGTCCACACATTAAAAATACCTGAATAAAACAATAATAATGAATGCATGGTCTAAAAGAAAAAAAAAGTTAGAACAAACAACTGATTTTAAATGTCAAATCAATACTTGGTTCAAATGACCACACACTAGATAAACAAAATAAAGGCAAAGAGCCAAACAAACGCCGACAAATGAGAGCTAATAATAACAAGAACCAGCTACATTCAAGCACACAATCGTCCATTAAAGTCAAGAACATGCGTATATTCAGTCATATGGTCTCTGCTTCAGGTGCAAATGCCTTTGTTTCTAAAATGTGTGATGAGCTTGTTGATTTTGCTTGGTAACATTCTACAGAAGCTGTACACGCAGTCATTTTTGGGTCAAGAGGTATCTAATTGCATGCATACATGCAGAGTGTGTTATATGTCTGTGTTTGACCAGAGTACTCCAATAAAGCTGTTTCAGGTACTTGAATCTAAAAATACAGCCGTCCTCATGAGAAACACAGACTGGAATAAAGGAGCAGTAACAGGCAACTGCCACCAGAGGCCACTACTGACCTGTTTTTACACAGGGGGCATGAAGCTGACGTAACCTGTCTCTTACCTGTTGCTGTGCCGGTTGTAATAGTGAGCGCTGCCAGGGACTTGTTGCTGATGTAATGGCTGTCGATTAGGAAGCGAGCCAAGTCTTCCACGGCATCAAACTGACGTTTCAGCACCTTCTGTGCCCACTCACAAACCAGATCACAGGCTGCAAATCGCACATCCTCCTTTATGCTGCTCAGCTGGCCCGCTGACTCCAGGACATCACACTGGAGCTACACACAGTAGATATGTGGTTATATATATGATACACTGCATGGCAGTGACAGTGACAATAATGGAGGTAGAATACAAAGAGAAAATATCAATAAGGAAGATGTGAAAGTACTTACTCCATCTCCTGTTTTATGGAGATCCAGAGCCGGTAACGATGGCATGTGAACAAATGGCCTCTTCCTCAGTCCACTATAGCAATATGTAAGCTGGTGTTAAGATAAAAACATGTGACTCCTGAAAATTAATATATGTTGGCAGTATAGAGAAGACTACTTACTGGGATAACAATTCAATAATAAAAGTAAATAATTAATGTATCTACAGACATCTAAAACGATCAGCTCAGAACAACAGACCAACTGGAAGGTAAAGTATTTAAAACCTGCACATACTTAACATTAGGTTGTATTTACTGATGAATTGTGCAGTATTGATTTATTAAGGGAAGCCTTCAGTAAGGGAGCTTCTTGGCACTTAGTGCACAAATCAGGTGCTATTTCATTACGCATTGTATCTTAGTTTTAAGTTCCTCCAGTAAAGCTTTATTTGGAGACCAGTGGTCTAAATAATGTATATTTAAGATGCAGTCTATATTGAAATGGGTCTAATTGACTGTCATAGTTTAATGGTTCAGTGTCTGATGCTGTAGCACTAATGTATCATCAACCTCATGTGACACTCAAAAGTTGCTATTAGAATAAATAAAAACATGCTGTCAGGACAGTCCTCGTAGTGAAAACTGTAAACTGACCCATCAGTGTGGCTTTGTGTTAATGGATTGGTGTGTGTGTGAGACAGAGGGCGAACCCTGTAAAGCACCTACAATCAGGGACACTGACAAGCTCAAATTTGTTATCCCAAAAACATCATGTGTAAGCAATCTAGTGCCATGAGCTGTTCCAACTGTGAATGACAGGAAATAATGTTTAATTTGCTTTTAAACTTGCAGCCACTTGCAGCTGTCGTATGTCTCAAATTACTGATGTAGTGAAGTGATACATAAACGTTTTATTTCTATAGAATTCGGCAGAATAGACTAAATAATTTTTCACAATGCTTTAACATTCAAGAGTTTACACTAATTTAACCACTTTTTCTGGAGTAAAACTACTTTAACTTAAGAGTGTTGGACATTTTGCATATGTTAAATATGCTGGAAATTAAACAGTTATTTCACAGATTCTTTTGATTAGTGCGTAAACTTGAAATATTGTAATAACTAAATTAAATCCTTGAATACCTTGGACAGTTTGCAAATATAAGTTCAAAGCAAACTTCTTTCATCAGTCAAACTATTCAAGTTTTTCCAATAAAAGCCAACAAAGTTCTGACTTATGATCTTACACAACGATAATTTCATTGACCTGAATGAAAGAAATCACAATTTTGTGATGAAGGTCAAGATCACCGTGACTCCCCTGAGGGGCCTCTGTATTATGCTTGTGCTTCTGAGGCAGAGGGGGGCTTTATTTCATTTCACATCTATATTTAGAGAGCTTATGAACTGCAACAGCAGATGGTGTGTGACCAGAGACAGAGGCCAGACTGTTACAATCCATTCCAGTGAAGGATATTTAGATTTTCCTCTCATGCCAAGTCGACGCGCCTTCATGTTCGGGAAGACATTTTTCATCATTTTTCCAAAGTCTGCAGCACTCAGTGGATGGTAGTTCAGATTGTCACAAAAGCTCCTGAAAGACACAATAGACAGAATAATTGTAATTAAAAATATAGAATTATGTCTTGAATCATCTAATTAAATCATCAAATCATCAAATCAGATCAATACAGGGGATCATATAAGGTTTGTGAATGTGGGGTGATCAAAGTCTTTACAGTTAAAACAATTTTGGTCTATTCGAAAACGTAGTGATGATTGAACCTCAGCACAGCAAAATGTTTTAGCTTCTTTCAGCTCATTGTTTTAGCTTCTTTCAGCTCATTGTTTTTGTTTTATAGCCCATAACTTTACTGTTTTAGTTCACATTTCGCACCAGTGTCATTTGTAGCTGCAGCAGGCAGCTGTTTTTAGCTGAATGTAGTGGAGCCTTAAGCAGCTAAAGAGCCCCATATTATTCAGAGGAGCTGGTGGAGACCAAACACAGAGCTAAAAGAGAGTGCATATTGGACTTATATGAATCAGGTGGTAACAAACATGACACAAATTAACGATTATGTTGCTCTGTAACTGCTGGATGAGTAAATATGTAACTCATAAACTTTATAAAGTGATCAGGTCATTGTTGTTTTTACAGTTTGCCCCTACCTAGTCAAATCAGTTAATGCACCTTTAAAGATATAATATGTAAAGTTAGAGGACCAGTGTGTAGGATTTAGTGGCATCTAGCTGTGAAGCTGCAGATTACAACCATTTGAATATAGCTCAGCCTTCCAAGTGTGTAAAAGAAACTAAAATGTGAAAGGACCTATCTACAGCCAGTGTTTGGTTTGTCCGTTCTGGGCTACTGTACTCCCTCTGTAGATAAAAACAGCTAATTTTAAGGTAACAAAAGCACAACAGTTCTTATATTCAGGTGATTACACACTAATAAAAACATAACTATGAATATTATATTCTATTTCTACCGATAGATCCTCCTAAATGTCACAAAGTGGACCTTTAAGAATTACAACAGAGTTCCTAATAGTGAGTTGAGTGACATCCATGTCATGAACATAAAGTGCCCTTGAAATGAAATTAAACAACTCCCTAAGAAAGGCTTCATTATCAGTTGTTTGTGACAAACGTGATTGTTTCACTGCACAAAACATATTTTTTGTGATGTGATGGCTGTTGCGTCTCTTTAAAGCCTTCTCACCTGTCTACCCTAAAGGCGCCAATATTTCTGGAGGGCACTGTATTTCTGATCTGGTAGAGTTAAAAAGACAGTTACATAACACTGTCAGAGCATTTCAATGGCTGTCTCAGACTTTCCATTCTAATATTACCAACACATGCTGCTCTCTGTGATTCCCAAGCCTGCGGCGTCTATTTATACTGACGCTTTAGCCGGCAGCAATTTAGAGGAGAAAGAATCTCAAACATTAGTAGCTGTTATTATTTAAAAGGTGAACATAAAGTTTAATAAAGGGAAACTCTTATGTGTTTAACAAGAAACAATACATTCTTATTTACTATTAAAGAACATTTTAAATGTATGTTGCAAAAACCTCATCTCACTCACTGTCTGTTTATACCTACTTGTATTCGTCATAGACCTCCTGTTTGGGAAGAGAAGTCTCTGGGTATTCCTCTAAATGACTGCGGATCCAGCTGAAGGCATGCGTCTGCTGTGTGCGGCTTGATGATAGGGCGCTCTGGTCACTGAGAAAAGATGTGAATCATTGATTGATTGACAAATGACAAAGCAAAAGACAGGCAGACTCTTGTCACCGTAAGTCCTGAGAAATCATCTGCACTGAACTGAATTTTTTTTTTACAAAAATGTTTAGCCCCATCCATAATTATAGTGTTAGCGTAACAGTGGTTTCCTTGTGTCATAAATATAGTATATAGTGTCCATTTTTCTATAAATAGTGTCAGAGAGCAGGTGTATCCTTACCTTTTCTCAGTGTTACTGCTGGGACCAGAAGGCAACTTAAGGTAGAGGTAGAGTTTTTCAATGTCTGAGAACTTCTCGACATCTTGCTGCAGAGATAAAAAGGGGAGTTTTAATGTTTGGCCTTCTAATTATCAGCACAAGGATACACCTACAGAGCACTCACACACACAGTGTAGCTCTGGCAGTCCATGGATCCCTATTGGTTGAAATTCAACAAGGTTTGGTTTAGACACATAAAACATCTTGTTTAGGGTATGTTCATTGTTTCAAATACTCTATAGATAATCTGTTAAACAACAAAGAAAATGTTATAAATACTCTATAATAGGGATAAACTGAAACAGATGATGATAAACAGTAATCAAGGAAGCAGTAAAAAAGAAAATATTACTGTCAAAATTTCAGAATAAAGTGGTGGCGTGGAACTCATAGTAAAGTTAGTACTCAAGTACTGCACGTAAGAACAATTTGGAGGCACTTGTACTTTACTTGATCCCGATAATTGGACAAATACTGAGTATCGGATGATTGTTGGCCAGGCTGATAATCGGTCTGTCCCTACTCTATAAACTATCTGTAGGTGAACTATCCAAATAAAGTGTTACCAGAAATGTTGTACACACATTCAGGGTTTTCACAGGATGAATCCTACTGACTCTGGTGATTCTCTGACCTCTCCTCTAGCGCCACCAGCAGGTTCACAGTTGTTTGAGTGAAACCTGCTGTTTGAGTGAAACTATTGGATGGATTACCACAAACTCAGGTACAGATTCATGTCCCCATTAAGATGAAAAGCAGTAACTTTGGTGATCCTCTCAATCATCCTCTAGCTTCATAATCAGGTTGAGAATTGTATTTGTTTATTACTTTAATTTATTACACATACAGCTGTGCTTTGTGTTTAGTGTAAATTAGCATGCAAAAATATTGCACTCATAATATTTCGATAAACAACCAACAGCAGTGGTTGGTTAGTGGCCATGAACAAACAGATTTAAAAACATTAAACACAACATACAGTATACTATACTCTAGATCATGCCTGTACATTATGGGTTTTGCATGGTCACCTCTCACTCTCATTCATTCATACTCAGCACACACAGACATGCCAAGAGTGTACAAACTAAACCTATTCACCACGACCCCCTGAGCTACCAACAGTCTTTAGCACTTCTAACTACGTTCTTCAAAAGGGAAAAAAGAAACATGAGAGCGTGAAGAAGGCGCAGTTTAAATTCTGCTGGTTTAGATGGCAGCAGACAACAATGTTAAACACCAAGCAATAATTTAACCCTGTCAGAGTGAATTCACTAACATAGACCCTTGTAAGTATTCATGTTCTTTTGTTTTTAAACGTTTAATCACAGTGGATTTAAGGTGGCATTATTGATCATCAGAAGAAACAGAGTGTCTCTACAAAGTGATTTAAATGAATTACAAAGATATAATAATATCATATAATTTAACACTTAAATCATCACTATTAGTCACATTATTAGTTAAATGGAGATAAACTGTGTGTGGTCAAGGGGTTTTATTTGTTTGCAGTATAAATGCAGCCTATTTAGAAGTCTTTAGTTAGTAAGTATTGTATATATATATATATACATTCACCGTATTGTGGCAAAACCTTCACCATGAAGAAAAAATAACAAAAATGTGATCGAAAGTCTTAGTCAACAAATTTCCCTCAGATTAAGTTAAAGGGGAACTCCACCGATCAGTCTGTTTTCACGGTTTACAGGAGCGCTACTTCATGCGTGCATAAAGCATTTTGTGGCAACCGAGAGAGCAGAATAAATTCTGAAGAAATTGCCTCAAACGATGTCACTCGTTTTCAAACTTGTGGGTGCCAGGTTTTGACTGAAGATTTAAGAAAAATCAATGGACAAAAAAAAGACACTATCTCTGGTTCTACTGCATCGATTTGAGCCTCTTAATAAAACTGTCCATCTTGAGCCTGAGTTTAAATCAATCATTAAGAAATAAAAAGAGTATGTCTCAGCTTAAATCCGCCTGGAGCAGCCATGAGGCATGTTTTGGTGTATCTACACTGCAATTCACAACCAGTGAGGAGGATTTAGTGGCTTCTAGTGGTGAAGCTGCAGATTGCAACTAGCTGAACATTGCTTGCATCTGTATTTGACGACCTGGGAACGAGAA